GAACTCCTGACCTCAGGTGATCTGCCTGCCTCGGCCTCCCAAAATGCTGGGATTACAGGTGTGAGCCACCACGCCTAGCCATGCCTCATCATTCTTTTTAGCAGGTTTGAACAATTTCAGCAGAGATTCCCTTTGCATTTCTGCAGTGGCTCCTCTTGGCAGTGCCACCAGCCCTTCCTGGAGCCAGGTGATCTTCCTGGAGTGAGTTTGCTGAGAGTAAAGTGGCCTTGGCCTGAAAGCTGCTGTGGGTTTCAAACAGAGAGCCTTGCCTTGCACACCCTCAGGGCTAGGATCCCTGTTGAGCCACCCCCTCACACCCTCCCTTTCGGGGTGGTGGCATGGCAGAAGTTTTTTTTTTTCATTTGTTTAAATTTTTATTTCCATAGGTTATTGGGGAACAGATGATGTTTGGTTACATGACTAAGTTCTTTAGTGGTGATTTGTGAGATTTTGGTAGCCCTCTCCCCCTGCACAGACCGAATTGCTCAATCTGGAGCCAGCCCACATGATTGCAGAGAGGTTGCCATTTCCTCCACGTCTTAGATCCTGGAGATGGCATGTTGGGTCCTCTCTTTCTCCAGTTGACCCCCAGGGAAGAAAGCAAAAGAGCTGCAGTTAGCACAAACTTCTTGCTTCACTTCAGTGAACAGGGCTGAGCAATACCTGGGAAAAGTGAAATTCCAGAGTAATATCTGGAGGCTTGCCTCTAGACTGGTGGGGAAGGGTGCTGGCTCTAGCTTATTGTTTCCCAAGCTTTCCTGATAAGGATCACCTGGCTTGCTTGTTAAAATACAGATTATTGGGGCTAGGAATCTGTTTCCTTAACAAGCGTTCCAAGCCATTCCTGTCTTCAGGCAAGTTTGGGAAACTGTCTGTCTACTGTACCAAAAATAGCCTGTGGAAGAGGAGTGCTTTTAAGCAAGTTTAGTTTTGCATATAGTACATGAATAGGTTCTCCTTGTTTGAAAATGTTTTAACATTACAGAGAAGTAGGTCTCTTTTGACTTCCCCTAAGCACCCCATTCCAAGTCCTTCCCTCCTCCCCAAAGAGGGGTCAGTTTGGAGTGTGCATCTCCCAGACCCTTTCTTTAACTTAATAGAGATACAGATTTCTGTTTTGTTTTTCATAAGTAGGTATCATGTTGTAGTTATTCTACAGCTTGCTTGCTTTCCATTCAGAGCTATGTCATGGAGTGCTATGCCAGCTCACACAGAGCAACTGCTTTTTTTTTTTTTCAGCCTGCTGCATAATGTTACATTGTATGGAAATAGCACAATGTATTTAGCGGTTCCCCTATTGATGGATGTAGTAGTTTCGGGTCGTTTCTCATTATTACTTCAGGCAGCATCCTTGCCCATGGACCCTTGTGCACATTTGGGAATAAATACTGAGAAGTAAAATTGCTGGGTCAAACTAGGTGCATTTGGGGATTTTAATGGATTCTGCCCAAAGTTACCCTTGTAAGTGTCTCCACCAAAGTATATTTCCCCTGAAAGCGTGTGGAGAGGACCTAATTCTGCTCACAAGTGCAGCTGTCCCACAAAAGAAACTAAAACTCTCACCAGTCCATAGGGAAGTGTGAACAAGGGGCAACACCCACCTTCCTCTAGTCCTTTCCTTTGGGGATGAACAGCTGCAGACTACTTCCTATCACAAAGTGAAGTTCCTAAGATAAAAACACAGGGGCCCCAGCAGTGTGTGCGTTCCAGAGAGGAGGCGTGGAGAGGCCATCCCCAGGCCACTGCTGGTTTGCTAGGTGACTATGACAACGCCCTGCCCTCTGGGCTGCAGTGGGCCCTGTGGAAAACAAGGGGAGACTAGATCAGGTCTCCAGAAGGACAAACTTATGGAAGCCCTTTAGGGGCCTTGGGGTGACCTGGGGTCTGTAGTTTTGTCTGAAAGCAAGAAAGATGCTTGCCAGGGGTTTCGCACTCTTCCCAAGAGGCCAAGCAAACAAAAGAAGACGTGGCTCACTGGCTAAGCTGTCGCACTCTACAGCCTTTTTTTCTGCTACTGCTCAGCTCTGCCTCTGTGGCTGCCAGGTCTCTGCCAATCTGAGACTAAAATCAAAGGAAAGCTTCTTGTGGACCCAGGTGGCCTGACCCGCAGAGGAGTCCCGGCTGGCTGCCTTTTGGTTGAATTGTTCAGTTACATATACAGGAGTTGTCCGCTAACTGGGAAGTTTTTAAAGCAAAGCAAAAGCAATCCCATCAGAAATCCAACCCCACATCTGGAGAAAACTCATTCCCTTTCTTTTAGCTCAAAAAAGCAGCACCCTTCACACAAACCTTCTGCCGGGCCATCTGGACTGGTGGTGAGCCCCGGGCAGCGTGGACAGTGGTCACACTGCCCAGTCCTGGTGGCTGGGGCCTGTGGTACTTCACAGGCCATTCTGGTTGACTGCCTGCTCAACTCTCCTAACACCTGGTTGAATTTTTATTCCCAAAACTAGGACATGATTTTGCGAAAGGTCAGACAGTTCAGTGTAGTGTTTGCCAGGTTTCAGGTTGCTCAAACCTCAAATTTCTTTCCCTCCACCAACCTCACTTTGAAGTTCAAAAGCAAATTGATTAAATATACATTTTAGGAACTTTCCGATTTGCTTCTTAAACTAACAGAATTCTAGACTTTTTTTTTTTTTTTTTAATGGAAGGATTTTCAACTGTCAGCAGGTATAACTGGAACCATATGTCAGCAGAGAGCAGGGGCTTTTCCTGGTTTTAGGATTTGTACATTCTTATTGAAACGGAAGTAAGTGGAGCAGGCAGCTCCGGCTCCATGACAGCCTGAGCTCAGATGTCATTTTCATTAGAAAATATAGGTAGTACTTGCTGAATCACAGGCCTTCCAGAACTCCTGTCCCAGGGCAAACAAAGATTTGGTTTATATCCTGCAAACCTCTATGTTTGCAAATTACAGAGCACTTCTGAGAGCTGGAAGGGCGATTTCTAGATTACTATGGAGACTGCAACCCACCTGCCCCTCCCACCCCACCAGCAAATCCCCCTAAATGATTTTGTTTTGCAGAGGAAATATTTTTTCCCTTCCTTATTGCAGAATAGATGGAGCATGTTCATGTTGAAGAGAGACAGTGAGGAAGTCTGGGACAAGAGAAATGAAATTAGATGTCATCCACAGCAGCTACATCATTTTCTCCATTTGGATGTCTGGTCCCTTGAACTCTGAGTCACAAAACCCTGCACCTGACCAGCATTTGAACCATTCTGTTTGACAGCAGTTTACGTGTATAATTTTCTCTCTAATGTATTCTGCAAATGGTAGAGTAGAAATAGCAAATGAAAGACATTGCAAGGCCTAGCTCTCTCCCACCCCTTCTTTCCCTGGCCTGGTGTCATTTGAGCTCAGTGAGTCTCAAGAAGGGCTGCCATTACAATGTCAGCATCTGGAAGCCACCCCCACTGGGTTCCCCCTGGGACTCAGAGACTGAGCTGCAGCCACAGAGAAAGCAGTGGAGTAGGGGCAGTGGGAGCCATAGATGCTCCAGTGCTGGGCACTCTGGGCTTTGGTCTTCACTGATGACCTTCTCTTGTTTGGGGAGCAGTGACCGCTGTGTGCTAAACCTCCTGTTGGCCTCCAGCCACTTGCCAGGGACAGAGCTGCCGCCTGCTGTCCCTTCTCGGGCATCACATTCCTGGCAGCTGGTGGTCACTCGCTCACCCTGCCAGGATGGCTTCCACAAGCTGCCATTTACCAGGCAGACAAAGGGGGATTTTCCCTTCCCCTGAGTTTGCAGGCCGCTCAAATGCCTTACATTCCAGAAGCTGAGAGAGAGAGCAGGCTCCTGTGGTTTCTAATTAAACCCACAATTTAAATAACAATTCATGTAACCCCAAGGGTTGAGAGGAACGCTAACCTACCCCTCCCAAGAGAAGCAGCTGGTGGCACTGGCTGAGGAGCTGAGGGCTTGGCCTTTGCCAGATATGTGACCAAAGAGGGCAAGAGGGAAGTCCCAGGGCAAGTTTGTGATGAAGCGGGGCTAAGTAGGAGGGGCGTGGATTCGGTGGGTTCTGTGCCCCTCCTAAAGGTTAGGAAATAAAAAGGGAGGAACACTTGCCATGTTTAATTGGAGCCTCCAATCGAGAATTTTTGCTCTTCTCCAGGAAAACGTGGAACGGTGGTCTCTGAAGTGTTAGAATCCCAAATACTAAGGTTCTCATGGGAGTCCCCCCACCCCCAGGTGACTCACTCTTTGTCTGTGAGTTGTAGAATTTTTCTCTGGGGAGAAGAGGCAGGGGCTGTGTTCTGGAATACAGACAAACGGGGAGCTCAGGCAGGGCCCTGGGAGGTGGAAGATCTGGCCAAGCCTCTGCTCACACTGGACCTCAATTTACCCATGTGTTGTCGAGGGGTCTTTGGGTCTGTTGCTTTCAGTGTCCTTTCTGGCCCTGGCTGTCTGTCGATCCTTGAGCTGCTTTTGTGTTTTTATTTGGCCTGTCTGTGGCCACAGTGATCTTTGTAGTACGTTGATCTCACCAGATTGTTGTCTGATGACCCAAGGTGTGGTTGTGTTCCAGGTCTGGGGAAATGGAACGCCGAGCCAATTATCTCTAGACAAGCTCTTCTGTGCCTCAGCCAGCACCAGGGGCTTGTCAGCATTTCTAGGCTTTCTGTGATCTTGTTTCCAACTTTTCCTCCACTTCCATTGCATTAAACCAAGCAACTCACATTCCCTGAGGATGCCCTGCAGGTTCTCACCTCCATGCTTAGTGTGCGTTTCAGATGCCCTTCTGTTCTCACCTCACTGTGCCCAGAGTCGGCCAGACATGCACGAGCCCAGAGGGCTTTTCCTCGCAGTGGAACTCTGCCAGTGTGGGTCCCATTCCTCACCCCTGTGAGACGTGGAGCTCCCTGAGTCCGGGCATCGGCTTTGGTTCCTGCCTCCCCTGCCTCTCCTTGCTCATCTAGCCCAAAGCATAGCTGTGAAGAGATGTGAAACAAGCCAAAGGTGGACTCACACCTGCCTTCTTCCTCCCTGCAGGTGATCATAGCCGATGACTACTCAGATCCCTTTGATGCCAAGAATGATCTCAAGAGCAAAGCAGGAAAGGGGGAGAGTGCTGGCTACATGGAGCCCTATGAGGCACAGAGGATCATGACAGGTAAGCGGAGCTGAAGCACAGGGGCTCACGGCTGGGGTCAGGGGGTAGAAAGGGAGTGAGGGCACTGCTGGGTGGTCCCCAGCCAGCCTCAGTGGGGGCATGGTGTGTGCTTTCAAGTTGGTAGGTGGGGGCAATGCTGTATTAAATCTTCCCCACAGTTGACCTGCTTATGTTTCACCTATATTAGGAAAAAAACTGGCAGGGCACCATGATAGTCCAAATACAAGGATATCACGTACAGTTAACCAGAGGTAGGGGCCAAGAAGTAAGTGGGGAGAAGAGGGAGAAAAAGTAGTTCTATCAGAAATTTCTGAGTGAAGAAAGGTAGCATTTGAGACATAAAACTTTACTTGGAGCTTCCTAGTAGGCAGGGCAAAAAGGGAAGCAGGCTGGGTCACCTGGCTTTCATTACTTAGTAGAAGAGAGCTGACCAGATTACTAGTAGAGACAAAATTATTTCTGACCACATACCCAGAAATCTTTGTTTTGGAGCTGGAAGCAGCATAAAGAACCCTGGTCTACATGACAGGGTTACAGTAAGCATGGAGACATTCCCCCAGTGGCTGTTTGCCTGTTGGCCCTTGATGACAAAACCTTGTCAAAGCCATTATGTGGAGTCAAGAAGAATGTGGCTGGGTACGCAGCATCCTGGGGGCCTATTTTAGCCGGAATAATACAATACTTGGAGCATCTTTAAGGAGTGAAGGGTTATCAGACATCAGTTATCTTGTAGGCAGGATTGGGGGAAGGTCACAAGCAAAAGAGAAACCCCTGTTGTGGGTTCTCCTGGTTCAGGAGGGCAGGCCAGACACTGAAGAGCAGCTGTGTGGGCTGCCCCCATGACCCCACACAGGCAGGGCCACGAGCAGCGACACATCAGCACATTGTGCTGCAGGGTGCAGGAAGGTGGCTGGGAGCAAGTTTGGGGCTGCCCTGGCTTTGGAGGCCTCTCGAATTGGTACCCTGTATATCCGGGGACTTGGGGTACAGATACTGTGGCCCTCTTATTGTTTGTCTGGTTTTTGTTTGTTTTTTTGGCATTCCTGTCTTTGAGCACCTTCTCCTGATTCCTTCTTGAATTAGTAGAGACCCCATCTCTACTAAAACTACAAGAAAATTAGCCTGGCATGGTGGCACGTGCCTGTGGTCTCAACTACTTGGGAGGCTGAGGCAGGAGGATTGTTTGAGCCTAGGAGGCGAAGGTTGCAGGGAGCCAAGATTTTGCCACTATACTCCCACCTGGGCAACAGAGGAAGACCCTGTCTCAAAAGAAGCCAAAGTTCCTCAGGTCATTTTTAGCCAGATGAACAACTACTCACCTTTGAGGTCTTCAGCAGCACCCAGTAGGGGACTCCAGCTCCATTCCTAAGGCACCAGGCAGGGGCAAACCCTCCATGAGATCGGGGCTCCCAGCAGATGCCATCTCCCATCCTCCTTCCATTCCCGAGTCTGGACTCCTATAACATCCTGCCTGTGGCTCCATGGGACCTCAGCCCCTGTCCCATGTTCTGTACTCAGAGCAAACCACTTACTTCTATTGGTGCAACTCCAGGAAAGGAGCCAAACCTCTCAGTTTCCCTCAGCCTCATGATGAAGAGATATAATGAGGCTTAATGGGGGTGTATGTCAGAGTGCCCAGCATGGAGTCTGGTTGGTCTGGACTCATCTAGGCTGGTCTGGACTAAAGCAATCCTCCCACCATGGCCTCTTGAAGTGCTAGGATTGCAGGCATGAGCCACTGCACCCGGCCGACTTTGCCATTTTAATGAGGGCACACCCCACGGGGTTAGGTCCAACGCAGGGCAGTTTGATTGAGGCAGTTTGATTTAGAACCTGTTAAAGACCTCATGCATTCTCTCTCCAAAGAAGCATTCTAGCATATGCTGCTCTGTGTTTGCATCCTAGCTTGGCAGCTATGCCCTAGTTTACCCACAATTCTTGTTTTTTAAGAATATAGGTTATTAAAAGGGGTGTTTTCTGGTTGTAATGATCCTTGCTGAAGCTGCCTTTGACTCAAAATTATTTGCGTGTAATTCTTTGTGGCGTCACCCCAGTGATTGATGGCAGGGCTGAATGTGGGCTAGGATGAGCCATCAGTGCGTAGATGCTCCAGGAAGCTCGCAGAGCTGACGTGAAGCTCTTCGAAGGGGAGATGGTGGGGGAAGAGAGGGTGGTGCTGGTGACGGCAGTGGACTGGGAGTGGCATGGAAAAAGTTTAACCTTTTAGAGTGATCCTTTTTGGATGATATTACATTTTATGTGTATGTGTGCATGTAACTTGTAGTTATAGGGCAGTGTCTTGAGTAAGTAAGCAAAACGCTGACAGGAAGGCTGTGCCCTCTGTGTGCCGCAGGTGGCGTACCTGTGCAGGAGGAGCCCGGGTGGGAGTCAGACAGATCTGGGATGGTCATTTGCCACCTGAATGACCCAGGGACCTCGGTTTTCCCCTACAAAGCAGTAGCCTCAGAGCAGGCAGTCATTAGTGCTTCTAGCTGCTTTGGGCTGCTAACTGGCCGTGTGACGATGGGCAGCACGTTGTGTGCCCCCATATTTATGTATGGAATGATGGGCCAGTGATAACAACGACAGGGAGGCAGCTGGTAACAACTCTCGAGTACTTGCTTACAGCACTTGATGTCAGTTCTTAACTGGGTCCTCACCATTCCCCTTTGGAATATAGGCTGCCCCACTTGACCAGTGGAGAAACCAAGGCACAGAGAGGTTAAAAACTAGTCCAAGACATCCCAGCTGGTAAGTCAGTTGTGGGGCTGACTTCCTAGCCTGTTTGAACCATCGTGTGGGACTTTCTTTCCAGGGCCTCTCCAGCCCTGGTGCACTGCAGTTTGGTTTTCAGATTCCCCAGCACAGCCATCTTGGGCAGTGATTCACTGACAAGTCTTTGTCCTCTGTGTCCCTTGGCTCCATTCAGCAGCTGGTGGGGAGATTGGCCCTGCCCTGTGGGCTATAGCTAGGATGGAAGGCCTGAGGAAGTGTGCCTGTTTCTCCCAGGGGCTCCTCTCACCCGTGCCCTCTGAATACCTCAGCTTATTCTCTCCACAGGCTCGTTTGTGTCACCTGCAGGAAGTATGTTCTGCTTCCAAGATGGATGCTCAGCCCTTCACAAACCTCCGAGCCCAGTTGTCTGGGCCTCACTTGCCATCCCCATCGCCTCTCTCAGCCCAGCAGCATCGCTGGGGGTGTCTCCTTAAATGCTACAACTCTGTGGAACCTAGTTGGAGAGCTAGTGACCTGGTCCAAGCTTTCTTTTTTTATAGATAGGGAAACTGAGGCTCAAAAAAGTTATCCTTTTGAGAGTTTTTTTTAGAAACCCACTGATTAAATGTGAAGCTGTCTTGTAAACCAGTGAACTACCTATCCCCAGAGGTATCAAAGCAGAGGCAAGACAACCAGCATTGGGCAGTGACATGAAAGAGAGTTGAGTCTCAGATGGGTGGCTGGCTCAAGCGACTTCTGAGGTCTGCATTAACCCTGAGCTCCCAGGATGCCATGATTCACTGTGACCTGCCTTTCAAGCACAGTGCCTGTCATGAGTCACCCAAGACCAGCCCCACAAAGATAGCACCTGAGACCAACTCTGAATAGGAGGGATCTGGGTAGGGCTGGAAGCTTCCTTTCGCAGTGCTGGCCTGGCTAATTGTTCAGTCCTGTTTCCCCTTTTCATCTTCCTTGACTCATCTCTCAAGAGCAAATTCTGGTCTTGGACTTTGCTATGGCCTGCTGCCCATCTGGGCCTCAGTTTCCTCATGTATAATTTAAAGAGAAAGTACCAGAGCGCTTGTGGGTTTCCTTCATGCCCCAGCATCTCTGTATTTAGAATCCCCAGGCCACGCCTCCTGTTGAACCAGTGATCAGGCTGCTTCACAGCCCCTTCTTTCCCTCTTCCCTGGGTCTTGATCCCAGGCTTAAGGTCCCCAGATATATGAAATCCTGCTGATGCAGCACGAAGGGTGCTGGACCCTGATCAGGCCAACTTGGGTACCTGGATGGGTCAGGGTGCTTAGCCCACTGAGGGCCATGGTGTCATGGTAAAATAGGGCCTGTGATCCTGATGCCCATGTGAAAAACAAATTTTGCATGAGATTGTTGTTATTGGAGGACAGAGGGCCTGTTTGTCCTTCCTGTGGTACGCTGTGCTGTTGAATTCTCTAGTTATTCCCTGTAGGATTGTCTGCCCATCTGGAGGTAGGTTGCACCCTTGCCAGTGCTGGAGCAGGTGGTCCCTGGGTCCTCTGCAGTGCACTCGGTCATCGCAAGGGCTCCTGGCCAGGCTGTGTTGGAGACTGGACCGAGTAACCCGGGCAGATAGCACCACTGTCCCCCAGGAACATCCACAAAGCAGATAGGCATGGACCTGGAGTGGTCAGTGAGATGAGCATGTGGCTCTCCAGGAGTTCAGAGGAGGGAACAAGGGCTTCCAATTTGATCCAAGTAGAGTGGGTTGTGGGAGGTGGTGGTGATGAGCACTGAGTCAGGCATCCTAGGCCAAGGGGAGAGCTTGAGAAAGGCATAGAGGTGGGCCCTTGTTGCTAGAGAAGAGCGGTTGGAGATGAGGTTTTGATTGGATAATGATAGGAAAATCTCATGGGACAAGAGCATGTAGAGATTGACTGGGATCTGGAAGGCCAAGTTAACCTAAAGGCACAGAGTGTTTTTGTGCCTGAGATCTTCTCTCCACGGGCCTTCAGCCCTAGGAATTCTTAGAGGTACCCAAGGAGTTGTGGTAACATGATGACAGTCACTAGTTTTTGCAAAGGGCTTCCTTGTGTGCCAGGCACTGCTCCAGGTACTCTCCATGGATTAGCTCGCTTAATCCTTGCCTATGAGGTATAGGGATGTTCATCATCCCCATTTTACAGAGGAGAATACCGAGCTTCAGATTAAATAAGCAGCAAAAACAGAATCAAGAAGCACCTTCTGGAGCCCTCGCTTGCAGCTAAAACGCTCTCAAATCTGTCCTGTGTTCCCCACAGGGTCTGAGG